GCAGCAGAATGCACTGACAATTTAAATCTACAGCAGGTGGCCTTCAAAGTAAATGACAACATAAGGATAAGAGCAAGGGGGAAAACAATCTAGGGCAGCAATCAGCAGCTTTTTTTTTTAAATCTAATCTGGTATGGAGTCTGCAGGACACAGTAAAGCTGTATGGGCTCCATTTTGAATGATGGAGTAGGTTTGCTTTGGTGTGTCTGTGTGAGAGGACGAGGAAAAGATAGGAGGTGGAGGAGCTGAAGTAGATACAGTGATACTTTGACCCCCATCACTAACCACAGTCACTTCTGTTGCTCCTTCCTGAATCAGAGCATTGAGACCTTCCAGGTCAGAACAGCTGATGCCAGAACTGGTGATGAAAGCCTGGTTTGCTGAAGCCTCATGACCACTGACTGGAGCAGCAGGAATCAGTGTCTGGTGTAGAGCACTGTCATCACTTTGGTCATGGGCTGTGAGAAGAACTGCTGGCTGTGCCACTGACCCAGTTTCACCCTGAGACACTGGTGGGGGAGGAGGTGCCAGCAAACTGACTTGGCCCAGTAGCTGTAACCGGCTATTGGCAGAGAGGTCTTCCTGATTCTGGCTAACCAATGCGGAAGGCACCACATTTACCGACGCAGACTGAATAATACTATTTGCCTGAGGCATTTGATGGCCCACAATAATCTTGACCCTTCCCTCACTGTATGGAGAGACCTGGGCAGCCTGAAGTGGAACCTGTAGGTGACTGACAGTAATAGGGGCACTGGTTTGCCTACTAGGATCCATCTGGAGCTGCAAAACAGCCAGTTCATTATTTTTAGTCCCATTATACATGCTGTGCTGTTTCTTATGGCTCCTGAGAGAATCTTCTCGGACAAAGGAAGCTTCACACAGGTCACATTTAAATGCCTTCTTGGCATCTAACCTGGCTACTTGCCTGGAGGTGCTCTGCTTTGTCTTATCTCCCTCTTTCTTCTCTGAGATTTGCTTCTTGGCCTTGACTTTGTCCCCATGAGCTTTCTTCACATGTGTAGTCAGATTGCTCCGCTGTTTTGTATCAAAGCTGCAGAAGTCACATTTGAAAGGGCGGTCCTTGCAATGAATTCTCTGATGTACCTTGAGAGCTGCTTTGCTGGAACAAGAGTAGTTGCACTCTGAACACTTCACTGGTTGCTCAGGTTGATGGGTTCGGATGTGGTGCCGAAGGCTTGTTTTGTTTCCACACTGGAATTCACACTCTGGACACTTGAGGGTATTCTCCATGCTATGCTTGATGCGGATATGCGATTTCAAGTTCCCTTTCATGGCACAGCGGACGTCACAGAACTCACACTTGTAAGGCTTCTCCCCAGAGTGTACACGCATGTGCCTCTTCAAGTCTGAGTTGATTTTAAATTTAGCAGGACACATCTGACACTGAAAGGGGGCATCTCCTGTCAACAAATCATGCATTCAAATCAGAAGAGTCAAGCCAAGATTCACAGTACATCTTGGGGAGGCTTAAAGCTAAAAAAACTGCAAAGGTTTAAACTGGCATATGCACCTTATTCAACACAGAGGACACCCCGACATGGAGAGCTCTGTACATAGAAGAAGTAGAACATGCTGGCAGGCACCAGCAGTTCTTGGCATTTGCATCCCAAATGTTCTCTATTCTAGTTAATTTTATGAGAACACTTGCTCCAAGACATGCTACTGCATTTTCTCATCATCTCTCATTAGTAAGGCTATCATTTCAAACTAATGCTTTTAACCAATTTAAATCAAACATGATGGAATCCTAACTCTGTTGGTACATTTCAAGATACAAAGCGTACTCCAAGTTTAGAGAGCGTTACTTACTACATTTTATATTAGGAGGAATTTTAATCATATTATGGCAGCATCATAACAACTGGAAGAGAGAAATATGAAACAAATCATGAATACAAATGATAAAAAAAATACTATGTGGATGCATGTTTAATATGCCTGCACAGTAACATTAGGGAAGGATTTCATGTATCCTTTGGCCTTTTAATGCAACTTGGCAGTGTGAGAGGATTTTGCATTATGTGACAAACCATCTTCCTACAGATCAGTTTGAGACTCTCTGGCTGTCTACACACATTTAAATAACCTGGGAGAATTCTCCCAGGTTTATATTCCTTGTAGAAAAACTTACCGGCATTTGCTCTCCTGGGGGTGATTTAACCCTGGTTGCTCCCAGATTACTTTTCTCCTGGAGCGGCTATTTTTATTCTAGGATAAAAAGCCTTAACATTTATATACTTGTGCTTTCTTTTGGGAGAGCAGTGACTCTCCCAGGAGAAACTGAATGGCTGTATGAGGCCTTTCTTTTGGAACTTCCATCCGTGCAGACACGTGTTGGCTTGGTATGTGCATGTGCACAATTTTTGTGGGAATATGCATGAAGGCAAGAAAACAGACACAGATGAAAACTTGGCTCAAAGTGTTTGGCTGCCAGATCTTGGAAATGTGCATGTTCAACTTGTAGCTCATGAGCGGTCTGTTACTTCAATGAAGAGACTTAACATTCACTTTACATTTGCACCATAAGGACTAAACCTTTGCTTAGTAGGCTCATGCCACAACTATATACAACCAAATTAAGCTTTATATCCGTTTGTTCCATAATCATTGAATCAAATCTAGTATACAGGCTAATACATGTTTGAGAATGATCATTAACCACCCCCCAAACAGCTGCTTAAATAATATGCATAAAACCACAGGGTTCACTTTTTTTCAGTTATCTATCAGGCAGTTTTTCCTCTGAACCACTTGAAGAGTGAGGTATCATTTGGATATATCACTCCATGATGGAAAAAAGTGAAAGCAATAAAGGGTGCCATTAAAGACAGAAATAAAATGCAGAAAGTTCAATAAATGTTTTTGTTCTTTAATAATCATGACAGCATATGGCTAATTTATAAGTTAATATTTTATAGATCTTTGTGATAGCTGTATAATTTTGCATACTTTTTTTTTTATCCAACTACAAATGTCATTGAATTAGTTGCACATATTTTTAATAAGTTGGGACCTACTGTGCTAATCTACGTATCTGTTTAATAACTGAGATACATGGTGTATTGTGTTTATTATACAGATTTTATTAATGAAGATACACTGCTTGCTAGGCTAGTTTATTTTACAGCCCCAGCTATATACTCTTTCAGCTGAATTGCAAAACTCAGCAATTGAATTTTAACCCACTTTACTGATGAAGACATAGCACATATTTCAATGGCTCAATTTTCATATAGTGACTGTGCTGACCGTATTGCAGAATCCAGGAAAGACAAATGAGAGTAATACATTTATTTGCTAATTTGCAAATTGATCTGTTTTACATTACATAACTGGCCTCAGACCATTTGATGTTGACAGAGAAAATTTAAAAATCTTGGGCCCAAATCTGAAACACTCTCTTACATGAGTAAGAGATTGGTTTTATTTTTCCCTCCTCTACATTTCACAAGGAATTTATTCATCCGCTGGAAATAAATCCCTTGCTGTATACAACTTCATGTCAGGATCAAAATCTGCTAGTCAATGCTAATTTAATGAACCCTGAATCATAACAACATGCAACTAAAATTCACAGAACTAATCAAATACAGAAAGAACAATCTGTAAACGAACCTAATACCTTAGGGAAAGTGATGAGCAACACACCCCAGAGGCAAACAGTAACAGAGAAGTTTGACAAGTTGTTTATAGGAACAAACTGCACGAGAGAATCTGATAGAAAGGAATCTACAAAAATAATCTGACTTTAAGAATTATGAATTTAGTACCAGGAAAATATGTGGGATTTACCGTAACAGAGACTGAAGGATCTATATATAGAAAATATATTCAGCATGAGAAAACTTGTATTGCTGCTGCCCACATCTTGTTAATGTAATTGGTAATCTACTAATGCAAGGATAAATTGAATTATGAAATCCAAACAAGTTAAGAGCATCTACATTACAGAGTTAAACTGGTTTAACTAGCTTGATTTTATGTTCTAATGACATAAAATATTTCAGCTTCTCTATTATAGACAATGGGCTTTTAAAGATGCAGATAAAAGCCTTATGGGATACTCAAAAGCACTTACGCATATCCTGGGAATATACTTAGAGCCTAAGGGTGCATCTACATGTGCGTTTTAATGTGCATTAGCTTATTTTAATAGGCATTAAAGTATCACTAAAAAACCTGTGCTCTTTAGTTTATGCGCATTAAAACAGGCTAATGTGCATTTTCCTTACAATGAAGTTATTAGATTTAATGTGCAATAACTAAAGCACATGAATGCACATGTAGATGTGCCTTAAACACCTTCAGATATAATGTCCAAGGCCACCCTTATAGATCTACTTACCAGTATGGGACCGGAGATGTACAGTAAGCTGGCTAGAGTTGCGGCTTGCATAAGGGCAGATCTGGCATTTAAATGGACGCTCATTTGAGTGGATGCGCTGGTGCTTGTTGAGACTGCTGCTGTCAGCAGCTGCATAGTCACAGTGCTTACACTTGTAAGGTTTCACCCCAGTATGGGAACGCATGTGCATTTTCAGCTTATCTTTGCGACTGAAGCACTTGCTGCAAACTTCACATTTATGAGGCTTGTCTCCTGAATGCAAACAAAACAGTATTAAGGGCACAAGAATTTTTGTAATGACTGATTTGTAAAGAGGCATAGTTTTAATTTTTGCAAACCCTCCTATATCAGAAGTATTTATGCTTTCTACTACCTGTACACTAGCTACTCTCTTCCCAATGTGTAGAGGCAAACAGATTGAGCACAATTCAGCAGACACTTCGAAAACCCACTGCTCTATAGCAGCGGTGCTCAACCTCCGGCCCATGGAGCCCTTGCATCTGACAACAGGGCACCCCACGGCTTAGGAAATTTGGTGGCAGGGAAGCGGTGGCCATTAATATGGCCATACTCCCCTCTGCCAAATTCCCATAACCCAAGCCCCAAGTGCCAGGTTGGAGCCAGGCCACATCCCTTTCCCCCTGCAGGGCTGGTTTGGGGATGGCCCCCATTCCATACCTTTCTCTCCCCCTCCCGGTAGGGCCAGGCTACCTCATGCCTCTTATCGCAGTGGGCTGGGTCACATCCCTTTCCCACCAGCTAAGCTAGGTGAAGCCCCCTTCTTCCCTTACTGGGCTGAGATCAGGCTGTGCTGCCCCCCGCTCCACTCTACATGACCAGATGCCATGCTGGCCCTGGGAACTGGACCAGAACCACCACCTGGCCTGCAGTCGGACCAGGCACTGCCCATCTGGCCTGCTGGGGAAAAAGGTTGAGCACCACTGCCCTATAACATCTTCTGTATGTTTCTTTAAAAAAGAAACAACTTCTGAAACAATGAATAAGTGCTGAGGGTACTAACAAACAGCTTCCCATTTGCACTTCAGATATGCCCACATATTAGTATCAAGTGATGTGATCATGGTCTTAAACAAGCAGGAAAAGTGTTCTGATGTTTTTCAACTTTATGGCTAGAGACAGTGTAAACTGCAATCTGGCTGACAGAGTGGCGGCGTGCACCATCCAATGGGGCCTGGCTCATTCAAAGAGCAGTGGAAGGTAGGGGATGGAATTGTGCCCGTGGACCCTGAGTGCTATACTATGTAAATACCATTTGTGGGTAAACACCTGTTGATAATATACAAAAAAGAGAAGCAGAAGCCAATAATTTTAGAGGTTAACCTGTGTGCGTTCTTAAATGGCGTTCCATATCTTTCATGCCATATGATGTCTTAAACTGGCAACCTGAAAACAAAAAGTCATATCAGACAACACAAAGTTAGATATTTAAAGGCAAAGACAACTCACAAAACAAGAGCATATGCTTTGGCAAATTCAGGAGCCTTCACGATTCTGAATGGAATCTAACATTTTTTGCATCAAAAAAAATCAAGATTTTCTTTTTTTACTTTGAAAAGGGATGACTTCAATATTCCTGGAAAACGACGTCTATATCTTGCTTCCTTACATTTACCTTCAACAGTACTCTTAGTTTTCTAACACCTTCCTAGACTAATCATTCTTTGCATTAGCTCACCCTGTCTTTTTTGTGCTAAGCTCTAAAACGAATTGTTTGGAATATGTGCCTGGGGTTTGGGATGCACACTACAGTACAGAGGGGATAAAGGTGAGACTCATTAATTTCAAGTGTGGACTCAAGTTAATGCTACTAAGGCCCAGGCTAACAAATGACTCCTTCAGAGTTTTGTCTGAGTCCAGAGGGCTGGGTAGGGGAATACAGATTAAACAGCATGCAAATGTACACCGAGCTTTGAAATGATATTCATTCAATGAGACAGAAAGAATTTGGAACAACAAAATAGTAAACTCTACTTAAATTAGTGGGAGGACTACCCAAGCAAACAGGTATTACTCCCATGGTAAGTTGTATGCAAGTAAATTCAGCATTTGCATAAATTTTCTCAATACTGTATGGTTACTTTGATGATCAATATAATTAAAACAAATAAGGCAGAAGACAAATAAGGCCTTACATTTTGATGAGTGCAGGTATCCCTCTGCCCATATGACAGGCCTGTTGAGACATACCAGCATATATCATAGTGAAAGAGCCTAAGGACTTGACTCTGAAATCAATGGCAAAAATCGTACTGACTGATGGTGCAAATTCTAGGCCTAAGTAAACTTGTTATCATGTCACCATCTATACTCTCTTTATCTTAGATTTATGGAAACAAGCAGACCTAACATATTTATGACTACACTGAAATGAACAAAAAAAAAATGACTTTACCTGAATAGCAACAGTTCAGTTTCTTTTGGGCAAGTGAAGCAGTGGGTTTTCTAGAACGAGATTTTGGTGGTGGGGAGACAATAGCAGCAGTCTGAGGCTCACTGCTCTCACTGGGCAGATATGTCTGGTAGCCATGCTCAAAAACAAACTCCGGAGCTGAAACTACATGCATACAAAATTCACTTTCATACAGTGTGAATTTGCTCAATAATACAGTGAGTCTCTAATCCTTAATTAATTACACTAAGCACTTTCACATTTAGTCCTGGTTTTAAAACCATATATTCCTATTCTTTTAAAAATTGTTTTCTCTCCTCTCTTTTCCCATAAAAAGTCCTCTACAAAGGGAAAAAGAATTTGACTAAGGTGCATATTCTGCCTGGGTAGTTCCTTGCATCCGTGCACAGTCATACTGAAGTCAGAAGGACTTTGCAAAGGCTCAAGGCCTGTACTGCTCTGATTAGTGGTTTAGTCTGTTTTCTTTGTTGTCTGCACAGACTTTATTCTCGTGAAAAAAAGTTACATTTGTTCCTATAAGTTAGCAGGATAAGGGCTGTAAGGGACTAGTCTGGGAAAGAATAGTTAAACTGGCTGCATACAATCTAGTGTCAAAAACAAACTGAAAAAATGTCACCTTTTTCTAAATCCAATCTCTTTAAGATTTTAGAAGTTATTTGTAAAAATGTCAGATAAAACATCTGTAGGCAAAACACTGACTTTTGAATGGATTAAAACTTGACTGCTCTCCTAAAATGGGTAGACACAAGCCCCCTCACCTGACAGGTGGGAAAAGTTAATAATAAGCAGAAAAGTTAAGCACTCATTTCAAACTCATTAAGTCACAGAAAACTATTAAAATTAGGTAATACCTGACTGTGCTTCATGTGATTACCCAGTCTTTCACAAATCCTACTCTTTTCTCCTCCTCCCAACTCTCTGCCCAAATTACAGGTGGACAAATTAGTTCAAACCAAATAAGGCCACACACCTGAAAACATGAATACATGTTACGTGACTAGCAAATAAAACTCCGCAGCACACTGAGCCGGGTTAGAGCAGCCCCGGGCTGGCAGGCTGACCTCCTGGGCCCCCTGCCAGCTGGGGCTGCTCCGACCCAGCTCAATCTGCTGCAGTCCCTGGCACATGTTTAAACACGGCACTCAGGAGTAATGAACACAATGTGCACCAGTTTATTGCGGCACATTAGTTGCACATGTAGACGCATCCTGTGTTTCTCATCAAGGCCTTTGTTAAAAATAAACTGAATTCCAGTCTGATTACTTTTCATACATCGTAAGAGACACCAATTACAACCTTCCTTTTCATTCGTTTTCATGAATTGATGATGCATGCCCTCAGAGTTAAGCTATCAGGAGTGGGCTCACATTTTTATCATGAAATTATGTGGCTGGCGTCCTACCAAAGCTAAGTTTGTTTCTTCATCAAAACCAACACGAACGCTTGGGTATGAAGCGGTGTTTTAACACGGAGCGGTTTGAGTACTCTCCTGTCTGTCCCGGGGAGGGGTGTTTCCAAAATTCCCAGCAATACCTGTGATGGTCTGGGTCTCCGAGGTGATCGTCCGGGTCGTGGTTTGCGTCTGCGTCGCCGGCACCGTTTCTTCGGACACAAACTGGACGGTGCTCGTGGCGCCAGCCGCCGCGCCGCTCAGCTGGCAGCCGCTTTGCTTGTGAGCGACAAAGGCATCGAGGTTGTTGAACTGCTGCTTGCAGATCCCGCAGATGTGAATATCCGGGGTGAGCTCCACTAAGACGGTGGTACCTCCTGGAACTGGAAAAACGGGAACGTCGGCAACGCCGTTACCTCGCAAACCGCCCCCACGCCACGAGCGCCCTGACAGGCAGGACGCAGGGAAGCTCTGCACCCCGGGGGAACGCCCCGTCTCGGACAGCGGGGCGCAGCTTTAAAAGGATGCAGCGTTTAATAAATAATTCATGGGTTTTAATCACGCACGGGGCTATTTCCCCCGGGGGGGGGGTGGCAACCCAAGCGTGGCCCAGGCCCCCCCGCCCCCACAATGCAGGGGCGGCCCGCCCCGCGCTGCCGG